CGCGGCAGCAGCGCGTCTGTGGCGCGGCAGCAGCGCGTCTGTGGCGCTTCAGTAGTTTCAATTCACTAACTGTGTTTGTCACGACAGTGACAGTGCTGCATCTACATTTCTAAATTTTGTATTAAACTGGCAGTGGCGCGACTGCAACGCCACATTGGCGCCACTGCCGCGCTTCTATAAGCGTCTAATTTAAAAACGCCATTACAGTCATTTGATTAACTGCACATGTTTTGTACGCGATGCCAATGTATTTATTTCTCATTAAGTTGCTTGTTATCGTTGGTTACCAATTGTTGTATGGTCGCATTTTTCTGTTACACCATGTATATTATTTTCAATCAGTCAGCCATGCTGGTTTACATTTCATGATTGCCTTCACGAATGGGGTTTTTGATGGTGCCGATTTTTCTCACCAGTGGGGAGCACTCTTCGAAAGTAAAGTCCTTCATGCTGGATGTCCTCTGCCCGCTAATCACCGAGTCAGACGTGGTGTCAAACGAGCTTCTCAATGTGATTTTGATCAACCTCGTGGAGCCTAACAAGCGCGAGCATAAGCACGCTTACTCCCTTGCCAAGGAGTTGGTAATCAAGACCAGTGAGACGTTGGAACCTTACATTCAAGCGGTAAGTGTTACAATTGGCCATTGTCATCTGAGGCTTGATGCAGCTTCCAAAAAAAATTCAGAGCATGACTTGTTAAGCTCAAGAAACGAAACCATAATAAATACATCTTGTATAAAAAGTTATCAATAATCGCACCCCTCATGGAAGAATCGTATAAGTGGAGTTACGTCAAAAATGTTTATTGCTCCATTAGATACAGAAAAAAAAATATATATGTAATTTATTTTATCTCTCTAATTCTTGTAACTCTATCTACGTATATAGTAGTACATACATTAGTCGAGCAGTTTTAATAGAGCACTAAACGTTTTTGACGTAACTCCATTTTTGCCATTCTTTCATGAGGAGGGCGAACTGTCTTGTATTCATAAAATTTTTGTTCGAAATGACTATTTTATTAAAAACCAAAAACAGAGATCTACAACAAAGACATAGAATTCGTAGGGCGTGCTGGTTCGTTCCGTGGCTTAATTGGCAGAGCATCTGGCACGGATTGCCTGAGGGTGATGGTTCGAATGAGTTTTACTAAGTGTTTCGATCTTTGTTATGATAATTATAACAAACTAGTGGAGTAATTGCATAAAAAAATAATTTAATATCATGATAGCAAAACATTGTGACATTCAATAAACTAAAAACACAGAACTTTTTTATATCAAAAAACAGACCTCAAAAGTTCGTGGAATTACTCTGTTTTTAATTTTTAAAGTTTTATTGAAATTGGTTAACGGAAAGTGCGTGATATCGAATGCATCCCCTAGTTTGCCCCTAGGTGGAAAATTTTCTTTAAATTTAAATGGTACCAACACTGAGGCACCCTCTTTCCAATAAAAAAAAGAATCATCAAATTTAGTTCACAAATGCGGGAGTAATCGAGTAACATACATACAAAAACAATTCAGTCGAATTGAAAACCTCCTCCTTTTTTGAAGACGGTTAAAAATTACACCTATTTTATTATTTATAGAACGAAATGAATTCTTTACAGTTTTTCAACCACGTCCTGATACTTGGTAAAGAAGAGAAAGGACTTCTAATTTTCTCCAAAGTGTACGAGTTGATCTACGAATTGAATCAAATATGTCCCTCCATACTCATGTCAGTGCTACCTCAACTCGAGTGCAAACTCAAGTCGGCTCAGTTCCAAGAGCGACTCAGCGGAGTCGCCTTACTCGCTAGAATGTTCTCTGAACCCGGTTCGGACCTAGCCAAACAATATCCAGCGCTATGGCGAGCCTTTTTAGGTCGCTTCAACGATATATCAGTGTCGGTTCGTATTAAATGCGTGCAGTACTGCATGCATTTCCTCGTACATCACCCTGAGCTACGTAAAGATATAACAGATACTCTAAAAATGCGGCAACACGACGCCCACGAACAAGTACGTTATGAAGTTGTAATGGCTATCATTGCTACGGCCCAGAGGGAGTTCCAAGCGGTTGCAGAATCAGAGGATCTCCTCACATTCGTGAAGGAAAGGACACTGGACAAAAAATTCAAGATTCGTAAGGAGGCTATGTCTGGTCTCGCTATGATTTACAAGAAATTCTTGACAGAGGAACGCGTACCTCCAGCTACAGAAAAGGCTGTTCAATGGATTAAAGACAAAATTCTTCACGGATATTACATGACGGCTTTGGAAGACAGATTGTTAGTGGAACGATTATTGAATACATCGTTGGTGCCGTATACATTGCCTGCGGAGACACGTATGAAGAAACTGTATTACCTGATGGCGAACGTGGACGACAACGCGACAAAGGCGTTCATCGAACTGCAGAAACACCAGCTGGCTGTTCGCAGGACTGTGGCTGAGTGGATCGAGTTGCATAGAAAACCGCCTACGCCCGCTGTGCAGAAAGAAATGATTGCCAAGGTAAGGTTATTAATATATTTTTTGTCTCAAGCTAATTGGCGCAGTGGCAGTGCCCCTCAGATCTTTGCGATTTAAAGCTCTGAGTGGCACTGCAACTGTTATAATAATAATAATAATAATAATTTCATTTATTTCAGACCATGTCCATAGTGTGTTAGTTACAAAATCTTATAGCCTATGTTAGTATGAACAATTCAATAATAATAATAATAATAAACTACATTAAATTATAAACTAAGCCCCTGGAACCCATATGCACTAGGTTCCAGTGCTTCCAAAAAGCGCAAGCCGGCTGTTCCCAAACTGAATTCAGAAGGCTGTTGGAACCATCACGAAAACGTCGCATCAGGGAGGCTGATCTCTTGCGTATTATCGCACTGAAGGTGTCAGTACGCGCCTCCGCGGACATGGACAGGCGTGTAGCTTACCAACAGGCGCACGACTTGTTGTTCGTCTCGTCACTTGATATTATAAAAAAACAACGCAATATGGCGAACGCCCCAAGATGGCGGTTGATTCAATTTTGAACACAAAAAGAAATAAAGTTTGACGAATATCTAGAAAGTGAAAAACAATGAATGCATTAAGAAAACATAAACAAATTTGTTATAGGAAAATATTTCGGTTCTAATTTTTTTTAATAAGTGGTCGTTTCCTCCACTGCAGGTCCTCCACATAAGCTCAAAGTTTCTCCCGGAGTCCGTGAAGGCTCAGGAGTTTCTGAACAAGTTCTCCCAACACATGAAGCAAGCCCCCGAGCTACTACAGGGCATGGAGACCATCCTCAATCCTAATGTCAGTTGCGAAAACTGTGTTAGAACCACTGTGAGTACGACTAATCTTCATAATATTTTGTATAAAGGTTTCGTTTAATGATTAGTTTGGAATGTTGGTCTGTTGAAAACAATGTATATGTTTATTGTTATTTCGGGGAAGATGTATACTTAACCTAACCAAAAAGTTCTAAGGGAGAAATCTTTTAGTTCTATACCTGTCTCATGTTAGCATCGACAAATAACTCAAGACGACTGCTAATCTCCACAATACCGACCGAACATCTTTCGACCTTCATGAAAGAGGAATTTTGGCCGAAGGGTGTCATATATCGGCGATTCCGCGGCCGGTTACCTGACACCAGATTGCGCCACACGTCGCCGATAAGGGAAATCGTGTAGATTAGTTTTTATTATTATATTGTATGTATGTTTGTTTTAAGGTATATATAATATAGGTGTATTTTGTTTTTATATTGTTATGTATGTTAGTCTATAAGGTATGCATACATGGGTCTTTGTTACCTGATATAAATAAATAAATAAATAAAATAAAATAAAAATACAAATCATAACCCTGACAAAGGGCAAAATTCCGTCTTATATCTGGATGGCGCTGACCAATAGCCTGGAAGTAGTTTATACAATGTAAATGGCCGTGGATGTGAGATATAAGAAGTCAGTATTTTCTCTTTGTACTATTATTTGAATATTGATGAGTTAAAATTATTTTCTAAACTTCTCACTTCTGGACTTCCGCAAAGTAAAGCCTGAACGAAAACTATTAGTTACTGTGCCTTGTCGTCTGCCGGTTTACGCTGTATCATATAATAAATAGTTTAATAATATTAATAATAAATATTATTTTCAGTCTGCAGTGCTGAAGAAGCTGGGTCATCCTATAATGACGAACCTCTATTACAACACCGTGAAAATGCTTCTCGAGCGCGTGAGCTCGGTGATGATCGATCACGAGTCGCTGCTCATTCTGGTGGGGTACGTGGAGGGCGCCGTTCAGGGCACGGACCCTTCCATCGCTGAGGAGTGCGGTAAGCACTACATCGTGCGGTTTAAGCTACGCTACAAACCTACCGCTTAACTGAGTCGGTTCCTAAGGTAGCTGCGCGGTGCGGGAGGGGTGGGGTGACACGACGTGAGAGCTCAGTCAGGCGCGTGCTTTGCTCGTTAAACGTGTTTTTCTATCTGCTTGTTATTCGATGAATATCGTCAGAAAAATCTTGTTGAAATTATCTCGTGTGCAGCGCGACATAACTGTTACGTAAACTGTCACTACCAGTAGCAATTTTGTTTGCCATAATGTGACATAACCTTTCATTTTGCAAACTCAAAAGTATCAATACTGGCTGTGTGCAGTATACAAGTGGTAAATTGTCACTACTAGCAGGCATTTTTTTTGCCTTAATGTGTTTCATTTTGCAAACTTAAAAGTATCAATACTAGCTGTGTGCAGTATACGGGTGGTAAACTGTCCCTACCAGCAGCTTTTTGCTTGCCATGATGTGACGTGAACCTTTTATTTTGCTAACTTAAAAGTATCAATACTAGCTGTGTGCAGTATATGAGTGGTAAACTGTCCCTACCAGCAGCTTTTTGTTTGCCATGATGTGACGTGAACCTTTCATTTTGCTAACTTAAAAGTATTAATACTAGCTGTGTGCAGTATATGGATGGTAAACTGTCACTACCAGCAGCTATTCTTTTTGCAAACTTAAAAGTATCAATACTGACTGTGTGCAGTATACGGGTGGTAAATAAACCGATATCGGTTACAAACAAACCTTTCATTTACAGGCACAGATCTCAAGACTGCAGCAGAACGCGGACTCAAGCTCCTGGTGATGCTGTCATTCGTGTTCCCCGCTCACTTCTTACACGAGGACGTTTTGAACCGGCTGACGTCACTGCTCGAGATGGATGACGAAAGCGTCGCGCCTCATATACTCGCCGCGCTTACCTTCCTCGGCAAATACAGACCGCTCAGTAAGTTGTCTTACTTTGACCATTGCAGAAAAGAGACTCGCTTGTCGGTTTTTTAACTTTTCAGTTTCGTTCTACCCTCATCGTTCCTTCTTTGGTCAAATAATAATAATGTGTCAGACAACCACATCGGTTACATGGTTTCAAACTCTGCCCTATGAGTACCAGAGCAAAGGAAACTGGTCGTAAACTGGGCAATTCCATGTGCTATGAGTACCATTAGGGTTACCACGACGGCGCGACTAGAGCAATACTTGAGAGATACTCCAATTCTCGCATAGAGATCTTGCATCTCGTGTTAGCCCTACTGAGCGACGGAATTCACTCCGGGGTACAACCCAGAACACCCAGACCAGAATCAACTTAAAAAGTTAATTTCCCGAATTGGCCCTATCGGATATCGACTCCGAGGCCTACTCATCCAGCGTCCATAATACAAACCGCTAGGCCATCGAGGTCGTCAAACTAGAAAGTCTATGGAGAGTTCTACTTATGGCGTTGTTATAGCATCCATTTGTACTAAGCGTTTTGTTTCCTCCTTCCTAATGCGTACGGAAAATAAATGAAATACACGAATATCCATCTCCAAAAAAAACCGACCTCAAGAGTTCGTGAAATTACATCTATTTGTAAAGTTTTGTTGAAATCAGTTACCGGAAAGTGCGCGAAACCGAATTCATCACCTAGTTTGCCACCCTTAGAGGTGGAATATTTTCTTCAAATTTAAATGGGACTATTACTGAGGTACCCCTTTCCAACAAAAATAGAATTCTCAAAATCAGTTCACAAATTCTGGAGTAATCACGTAACATAAAAAAAACCAATCGATTGAATCTCTTCCATTTTTTAAGTCGGTTAAAAATAAAGGGCTACTCAAGGTCGTATCGTATAATACAACAAGTATGGAAACTCCATACAAAGATGCAGTGCAGCTTGTATGGAGTTTACTTTTATGAATTCGTTCAAAGACCAACAGCATATATCTACGAAATTAGTGATCATATTTAAGTTACGCAACGTTCGGGTAAATGGTGATCTTTTAAGAAGTTCAAGTTGGCGTTTATGTGTACCCATTTTCACTAGAGTTATAGACTTGAAACGGTCGCTCGTTGTTTTGAAACTTGAATCAATAATAATAAACGTGTTTATTGTTGTGTTTGTGGCAGTTTCAATAAAAGTGCCTCAAATTCAGAATTGTTCAGTGTCTTATTTCTATTTCATAATCATATTCCGTAATCAAAATACCAATGCGCGATCCTGGTGTAAAAATATCAATGTGCGCAGTGGCAGTGACCCTCAGATCTTTGCAATTTAAAGCTCTGAGTGGCGCTGCAACTGTTATGGACAGGCGTGTAGCTTACCATCAGGCGCACGACTTGTTCGACCCGTCACTTGATATTATAAAAAAAACGCGTCGAAGTTAGGACAAATTCCGCCTGTTCGACGCTTTTTTTTTTGCTTTTATTATACTATGTGCAAGGTGAGAGTGAACGAAAAAATGCCTTTTTTAGGCAAATCATTATCAGGTGAAATTCTGGCCAAGGGTGTGTCTATTATTTATAATTAAAAACCTTTACGATTTATTGAATTGTTTGCAGGTGAAGCGTGTCCCGCGTTATTCCCGAAACTGATAACACTGTGCAAGGCCTACGCCGAAGTTGGTACACCGAAACAAGCCAAGAACGCTGTCAGGTACGTCTTTTTTATATTTTAGACAACTAACAAGACATTAATTAAATATAACAAAGTAGAAACAATGGCACGGCATGCGAATGTGGACACTACAGAAAAATATAATAAACAAGTTGATCGAATAAAATTAATAAATCCCTACTTAAATAATAACTATAGCTACCATTATAGCTATTGTTATTATTTATTTTATTTTAATTTATTATTATTAAGAAAAGTAACTATTAAAAACGAACAACACTTTTAAAATATATTTTTTATGAACAATTTATTTAAAAGCAACGACAATAAACGAATTTTATGTACTAATACTATTCGTATCGTATTGATGGCATACACTATAATGCTTGCCACCGAAGTGAATGAATTTGCCAATCGGCGTGAGATGCTAAAGAAATTAAATAATCTAGAGAAACCCTGTGTCGCGTGTGCCATAGACAACCACAAATTACACCCAAACACAGGAAAGTAATAAATGTTGCCCATACAAATATTTCTCCCGGCCCGGTAATCGAACCTGAGACCTCTGCGTGGCGGTCCAGCATGGTAACTGTTCGGCCACAGAGGCAGTTATACTCGCCGATCGTGACACACGATTGGATAACCTGATGCCTGGGAGGCTCCTGTCGTGCACCCCTAATACTACTAATACTGAAGGACCGTTGTATTTATCTACCTCAGCTTTACAGATATAATAGTAATGGCGCGTTTACACAGCTTACTGTTTACACTGTTAACTGCGCGTCGGCTTCGCCGCCTTCGTTAACGGAATTCTCATGCTTAAAAGGCGGTAGTCGACTCGATGTGAACACGGCATAAAAATCTAAATTCTCATTGGTCAATACATTCCCAGGTGTCTCTTCGTGAACGTTCCCGATCAGCGCTGCGCAATCTTCACGGAGATATTGGAGACGCTAAAGGCCACCCTCACGCCCAATTCGGACCACTACCGCACGGCCATAGTGACTCTCGGCCACATCGCTCACAACCTGCCCGAGAACTTCCCTGTGCAAATTAAGAATATTGTTTCTAGGAAGGTAAGTTTAGAAATAATTAACCTACATTTTTTCTAACCTCCTAAGAACCAGTAAACTACAATGAGTGAAGCGCTAAACACTCTACGTGCTTTATATAAACATTATTGCAGAGACCGGGAAGTATTGGATTGCTGTACGAGTATAAGTTACAAGGCCGAGTTTGAAACGATACAAGCAATCCCCGTTCCAATTGATCCGCAGTGCTTTTCTCAAACAATGTGACGAAATAATAAAATCTACAATAGAAAAAGTTAAAAAATATTAATTAAAATTGAAAGTAATATTTGACATATTATATATATCTGCTGAACTTCTAGTGATGTATCGCAATGTGTACCCATTACTGTATTTTTATAATCGCTTTTAGACTTCACTAGAATTCATTTTCGCGACGAAAATACAAAAAAGATAAAAAACGGAATATACCAAAACACTTATTTTACGGCATTTTCTTAAAGTATGCGGTACAGATAGGTATTTTTAAATTCTCGCATTTACGAATACTGTTTACATAGTTCACTATTAGTAGATAGATTTAAAAGTTTAGAGCAGCAAACAGAGTGGAAGTGGAGAACGGATTTTCATACTTAGTTCGAAGGCCTTGGCCGGTCAGAAATCGCACGGTCCATAAATGACAAACTTTCCGTGTTCGTTTTTGAAAGTAATGCAAAGATTTCCGAGGATGTTGAGAAACTTATTTTAAGTATAATTACATACTACAGACCCAAGCAAACAAGCTCGCCCCAGTTTCGTATGAAACACGTATTTTTTTAGATAGTCTGTGGTCGTATAGTAGCATATATAGCGCTTAATTTGAATGCGATAGTTTCATCATAATGTACATTGGGCGTTTGCGTGATCATGGGAATAATATTACCTAGATCTGAATCACTTTACATGTTATATACGTTTTGATGTACTAGGGTTTTAGGAGGTTAAACCAAATGTCGTCTATCCATAACATAACATCGTAGAAAAAAATGTAGGTTACACCACTTTTGGGCTGATAGCCTCGATTAAAAATAATTAAAATAATGATTTGCAGCAGCTTTCAGTTAATTATACTACCATTTGAAGGAAAACTTAACTCGGTAGAATTTTTACATGTGGCATCACTAACTCTGTTTATAGCTTATCCATAACCAATTGTCAAATTTTATTGCCTAACAGTGTTATTGTTGTATGTTATTATTCTTATTACAGATAGTAAAAGAGCTTTTAGTCCGCGAAGGCGGTGGCGGCACAAATGCGCCAGAAGGCGAATGGTGTGACGAAGAGCAACTGCCAGAGGAGACCAGGTGCAAGCTAGAAGGCCTCAAATGCATGGCACGATGGCTACTCGGTCTCAAAAAGGATGAACTCTCAGCTCAGAAGACATTCCGCATGTTGAACGCGTTTATTGTGCACAAGGGTGACTTATTACAGGTAAATGATATTAAGTACTGATGACATAAAGATAAGAAACGATGACCGTGTAAACTTGAAAATCAGTTCATAGCCTGTTTCAGTTCATAAGTTCACTCATTTTATATTTTCATGTTCTAATAAAATCTACTTGATAGACCGAGGCAAAAATGTCTGACTCTTTTTAATTCTGTGGCCGATGATTGATAGTTTTTAGTATTCTTTCGGGGAAACGATGCCTAAAGCCTCCTGGGTACTAGTTTCACGCCTCTCTCCTTTGTAACATTTTCGACTTTTTTTGTTGTTTATTTTATTAATTTGAGGAATAAACATAAACTGAATGTTCTTGACAGTGATATCCCTACCACTGTTAAAACTGAATGTAATGCTAGTCTAGCAAATCAGCATGTTCTGGCAAAAAAGTCGTTAAAAACGAAAAACAAAGATCTTCAACAAGGTTCGTTTTGTTTCGTTCTAGAAGACGCTGGTTCGAATCCAGCTGGATCGCATCAATTTTTTCTTAGTATTCGATGTTTGTATTAATAATTATAACAAATCAGTGGAACAATTTCACAAAAATAATTGAATATCATGGTGAAACATCGTGACATTTAATAAAAACTTAAAAATTACAATTGTTAAAGCGACATCACTAGTCGGCTGTTGGTAGCTGTAAAGGCACCTGGCTTAGTGAAGATATAAATTTCTTACAAATGGTGCTATGGCAAAAAAGTCGTTAAAAACCATAAACAAAGATCTGCAACAAGCACAAAAAATCAGAAAAAGAAATCGTAAGGTCCGTTGGATCGTTCCGTGGCTTACTTGGCATAGCGTCTAGCACGGTTTGCTAGAAGACTCTGGTTCGAATCCACTCGGATCGAAGGAATTTTTAGTGTTTTTTCTTAGTGTTCAACTTTGTGTTAATAATTAAATGTAATTTAGTTTTAAAACAGTTTGCACTGTGATGTTTTAGCAAAACAAGCTGACGAAAGCAGAAATGGCGCATTTGCGCCTGGCGGCCGGCGCTGCGATGCTCAAGATATGCGAGCAGAAGGGCGTTGGTGATCAGTTCACCGCGGAGCAGTTCTACAATCTCTCGCATCTTATGATTGTGAGTATTGCCTCTTCAATCAACGTGTTATAAATATCCCTGGTAGGGGCGTAATACGTATACTATAGTCTGTCTTTAATGAAGATGGAGTAAAATGACATTTGCGGGGTTACCAGTTTTCCTAAATAAATAGTCATGTAGTAGTTGTCGACAGTTTCATCGATAGATTGTGAAAGTGGGTAAAATTTTGCCAAAAATGACTGAATTGTGAATCTTACGACGTTCTAATGATTACCAAATGCTTTATCGTATTCTTTAATCATATTTTGACAGTTGGTCTAATTAGTACCAAATTTTTAGTTATGCCCATTTTAATAGCGACAGGCGGATTTGATTCTGTGTATTAAAATGAAAAACTTTAAAATATGTCTTCTATTTATATTTTTTAATACACATACTTCTTAAGTACGTTTGAATGAAATTTCAAAAATCAACAATTCAAATGAACCTGTGCCCAGCAATTGGACTCATAATTGGCCGATGAAGGATCAAGTGAAACTATTTCGCCTATTATTTCATAAGCGTAACGAATGTTCAGTCGATAGTCGATGTAATATTTATCGGCTGCAATCACTAGTTGTTTACAGGCAGACAACAGTTTTGCGTAATGAACTGTCATTTTACACCGTCTTCAAAAAAGACAGACTATATTTGGGCGTATTTAATGGTAGCATCTGACATGGCTATTTTCATGCTCTATTGGGTATTTGTTGTTTTTGGGAAAATATCTGAAGTACAGACAAAAATGCAGACATTGACAAATATGGCCGTCTACACATGGAGCCAAATAAAGAGTAATAATGAATATGACCATACTATGGACAGTATAACACACAAGGAAGCTGCAGGCTTTTGAGATGTGGTCTTACCGCCGTATTTTGAGAATCTCGTGGCGTGATCGGGTTACAAATATAGCAGTACTCAATTAAGTGAAGAAAAAAGTGTAGCATCAGCTCATCATCCAAGGTAAAATCGCTGGAAAACTAAGTTTTTGGTAGAAGGCGGCATACTATGTTGAAAAATTTGAGGAAATGGTTCGGCTGCACTACCACCTCGCTCCTTAGAGCGGCAACCTTTAAAGTCAGTATTGCCATGATATTGTCCAACCTCCGATAGGAGATAAACCCTGAGAAGAAGATGGATAGTTTATTTGCGTATTTGCCTATAAATGGTAGTGTAATTGTCTCCTTTGATGTGCGTCGAGAAACCTTCCAGCGCGCGGTAATGCGAGTTTGGTGTTTGCTGTATTTGTTGAAGAGGCAAACAAGGCTAATACTTTGTCACACATGCTATCCACATGGTGATTGGTTGCCAAATTTATCAATATATGCAAATTCAAATAGCCATGTGAAGTGCCACCATAATGTTTAGTTGCCAAACCTTTCCCTAATGGTCATGAAAAACGTCGTGATAAACTTGCATGTCGAAGGCTTGTATCGCAGTGGTCTAAACCATAGTATAATCACACCCCGGACACTCTATACAACGGTCGAAAGTTATTTACCTACTACTACTACGGCAAGGCGCTATTTGCACACGCGCAGATGTGTGCGTGAAGTGGCAGGGTTACCTATCACTTTCTCGTACAATTAAGTTACGTGGTCAGAGCGGCAACATAACGAAAATTCTAACGCGAATCTGTTATCTATAATTCTATTAATAGAATCCTAATAATTACACAAGTTCATTAGGTACTTATATCGATATAATATTATATTTTTCGTTAATTGACTAAGTAGAAAAATATTGAAGATTTAATTAAAAATTATGTCAAAAGCACTTAAAATCTTATATTTTCGACATGTACTTTTAAATATGGTAACCAAGGTATTAGAAAACGCATATCCAAGTTTATCATTACCCAGTTAATAATTATCACTATGTAATATTTATCGACAAGACAAATTGAAAATTGGAGACCCATTGTCTACTAGCTTACGAAGTTATGTTATATGCATTAGTCTCAGGTATAAGCAGCCTTGCTGCTGTTCAGTCAATGTGACCGTCAATGTGCGGGGCGTGGTGCGATATCTAAAACTAGGGAGGGGCAGACAGTGTCCGTGCTCGTTACTTTTTGTTCTCTGGTATAATGAGACAAATTAATGTGGTACCTGGTCTACTCTCGTTCTCCGTCCAACGTAATTCCGAAACAATTACTGTGAAATAATAATACTCAAAGACAATATCAAGTCGATCCCTTTTACGTAAAGTATGGTATGTCGAAATAGCTAAGTTTACAGGGAAGCGTTTTAAAGTTTTGAATTCACTGAAATGAGCATAACAAACACAATTTATTATAAAATAAATTGTGTTTGTTCATCTAACCAATGTCTACGATTTTATATTGCTCTATGTGAGTAACTAGCTTTATAAAACTGAGAAATGCTAAACTCACGTGTTATACGAGTTCAAAGCTTTAAAACGCTCCCCTGTAAACTTGGAAATTTCGACATACGATAGTTTACGTAGGAGGGTTCGAAGTATGACATGTCATTCGCATCATGTGTCTTTTAATTTGATCGAGTATTACTTATTTGGTAGTAATTGTTTCCGACGGATGTCAGATGGAGAACGCGAGTACTGGTAAGGCGCATGGGATGCTACGTAATGCGAGTGCACTGCGATCTTATGCAAATGTGTGCGTCCACACACAGCACGCGGCGGGCACGCCCACATACAAACCTCTCAGCTACGTTTGTATGAAGTTACCGTACTTGTTTTATTATACTATGTGTAAACCCTCTCCTTAGAGAAGACCCTTGCCCAGCAGTGGAACCTATAATGTAATGACAATGTTTTTTAAATTGTCTGATGGTATTATGGTTTTGAATTCGATTTTGTCACTGATGATGATAAGTGTCCTAACGATAAAGTGTTTAATTTCTTTATTAATTAGCATTTCGTATATTTTCATTACATTGTTTAAAGAAAAACGTTTGATTAAAATGAGATGCTTCGAGAGTAATTTGTTTTTTTTTTGTATAGTTTTTCAACTTATTTTCTTTCATTTCGATATAACAACTATTTGTTTTTCTTTTAGGACGAAGTTCCACAAGTCAGAGAAGCATTTGCAGCGAAACTACATAAAGGATTGTCAAAGGTACGTCGCATAAATTACACTCGTGGAAATGAGTAAATAAAAAAAAAAAATGGGACACGATATAACTGTTTGTCCTCAGGGTATTCCGAACAAATGCCTACCTCTTGACTTCATGGGCATGTACGCTCTGGCCGGGCGCGAGCCGGACCGGCGCATACGCAACGTCATCCGGCAGTACATGCTGGCCGATGTCGTGCGACGCCGCGAGTACATACGAAATATTACTGTCGGCACTAAAGGTCTGTTCTTATGGCATATGGACTCATGCTACTCTCACAAACAACTCAAATCTTTCCACAGCTTTTCTATGAGTTTAATATGGACATCCTCTACTATGTTACATATGGAAAATGTTAGGTATATTACGAGATTATTTATTTTTATAAATGATTATTTATTATGGAGAATATTAGTTCTTATTGTGGTAACTAGCGGCGAAGTACAATTTGCTATATAAAACTATCAAATGTCTTATTAACTCTTTTCTTAGCGACTGTCAACACTGCGAAATCTCGGCGACGTATAGTAGCACTAACCTAATCGTCAAATTGAAAGTTGCTCTGGCGTTCAGATTAAAATTCATTCAAATTCCGTACCTTTTCCATAATCTATAATTCCCAACCTTTACATTGGGTAAAATGCGAAGGCAATGCCATTAATATTAAGAAAAAATAATCAAATTTACAAAATGGACGACAGCCGTTTGCACGACTTGATCAAAATGCCCAAGTTTACATAATGCTGTTCTCGACTGCAGCGGTGCAGGCGGCGGTAAATAGTTCACAACTCAATAATTATGGATTTTGTAAATGGCGGGTTTTTTTATCAACAGATGGCCAACTAGTTATGTATTACTAGTTGTGTATTCCATAGATAATACAACTAGAACTAAAATGTTTTAAAAAGTGAAGACGCATACAGCCATAACGGACTGTAAAAAAATAAATTGCTAAATTTTTATACAGAAAATAATTCAAATCAATTATAAGATTTTCTTAAAAATAAGTATTTAAGTGTTATGTGTCTGTATTGCAATTAAATTTCTGTTTAGATAACATTTTAAGCGAATGTTTTAATTTTGAACTTAAGTAACCTTACGCGAACTTGAACCTTTCCTATGTAAGGAAGTATGTCGTGCTACTAATTTTAAAAAACTCCTTACCAACCGTAGCTGTAATTTGAAGAAAAAAGGTTTTATTTCGGGCATCATAGTTAGCCACCATGCAATCATAATATTTACGTGCAAGTGTGATGAAAATCATTTGAAAATTATGTGTAGCAAATTTTGCAGCGCAGAGGGCTAGACAGTGGTAGTAGTGGTAAGTAGAATACTTGATAAGGATAATGATTGATATATTGCGTGTGCGCAGTGGAGCGCGCCGTGTCGCAGCTGCCACACATCCTTCCGGATTACATGCTGGTGTTCGCAGTCCCGGTGCTCACTCATGACCCTGCCTTCACGGCGTACGACAATGTCAACGAGCTCAAGGTGTCGTATCATTCCTTTTGTTGTATACACATTTCAATTTATTACAATTCGGTGCATTCTCTTCCGTTATCAATGAGAAACGGATGAGATTTAATTTATACGAACTGTCATCGTTTGTCTTACTCCTTGTGAATTTACTCTTAAAATAAATATATGCCAAGTTAATGCAATAGTCTGGGTTCGTCGCCTTATTTAACAGGTTTAAAGTAATACAAATCAGTACCCCGATTCAGAACTCTTCGATATTTTAACCGAATCGTCCAATTGGATATCATTCTCGTATCGAAGGGCGCTTTCCGAGCTATTCAGAACATTCCGAGTTGAACGTTTGATTCGGATACGATATCGTTATCCAACAGCGTTTACGGAGTTAGTCGGTGAAATAGATTATAAGAAAAATTAAAATCCTTTTATATACGTTTTTTAGACTTTATAATATATATATATATATATATATATATATATATAATATAGGATGCATTAGTTTTGCATTAAAATAAATTAATAAAATTGAACAAAATCCAGTCTTTATTTAAAATAATAAGAGATTTCCATATTACATTGTTGCTTTGTAAACAATAGGACGTTCGGTAACTTTCATTCGATTATTGTGTTCTGAATGACGTTTGTTGCCTTTGCCAGGCGAGAAGTTCGAGTAATCAAAATGATGTGACGTCATTTCGGTTCGGTTTCGAATACGACAGTTTGACGTTCGAATCGGATGTTGTGAATAAAAATGAAAAGAAATCGGTCGACAACTTTGTTATCGTAAGGTTCTAAATCGACCCACCGATATGAGAACGATGGACTGATTATAAATTATACTCTGTCTTTTTTTAATGTATCAATGAATGAATGAATGAATGATTTTTTGAAGACGGAGTAATGTGTCAGTTCATTACGCAAAAGTGTTGCCCGCTTGCAAGTAGCAAGGTAATTACTGGTGATGGACGACTGAATATTGGTAGCGCTTATGGAATAAATAGCCGAAATTGTTGCATTTGAATCGTCCTTCAATTATTGAGCACAATTTCATTTGAATACTCTATTTTTTTAAGTTCATATATACATACACGTATATAGAACTATGTTTATGAAAAATACAAAGAGGGACATATTTTAAGGTTTTTGATTTTAACGCAATATAGATAATCAAATGCGGCTATTCATGTTAAAATGTATATGAATAAAAATTGGTCTCGATACCAGTAGACCTACTGTCGAAAGAAGAATAAAGAAGGTAATAACGCAATTTTACAATTAGAACGTCGTCGTAACATTCACAATTCAGTCATTTTTGGCAAAATTCTCAAAAGCGATAAAACTATCAACAAGAACTACATAACTATTTAAAATTTTATGAAAACTGGCAACCCGTTTTCTTCCCCGGCATCAGCGTTTTCCCGAATTGAGGCAAAAATTACACTAACCTGTTTAAAAGGCTTGTTCCCCTCTTTATGTCATTGATCAATAAAATCACTACTGTTTTTTTTTGCAATCACATCTAGAGACCCGATCTAACCCAACGACAGACCATTATTTATCAATTAATTATCTATAGTACAACTATATTTCTTATGTCTTAAATAGTGAAGGTTTAAACAACTATTGCTCGGAACACCAAGCTGACTTTCGAATGAGACTGTTACGTCCCTATAGCGACCTGTACAACGTACCACACACGTCACGCACTGTACTACATACATTACTCGTATATTGTACCATGTATTACAATATTGATTACAGGTGGTGAAGCAATGCCTGTGGTTCATCTTAGAACCTCTGATAACCCGCAACGATCTGTACTGCTATGGGTTCTATAAGAACCTCGTTGAGCGCATGAAGAACCACAAAGACGCTTTGAACGAGACCGACGATGCCGTAAACTACGTACGTTGCTTATTTACGTTAATATTTATATATAATCAATTGTGTGAAAGGTGATAAATGGATGAATAAAAGAGAACAATATGGTGATGGGTCATCAATTGAGATTCTGGGTACGATAGCGATGTGCGGAATTTTAATGAAGTAATTTCTTCTGTATTAATCTGAGGCCACACCAGGCAATGAGAAACTTACCTCATCTAGTTAGAGAATATTCTTCATTTATTCACGTGAAGATGGTAAAAATATTGTCTTGGCGAATCCTAGAGGATAATATGGGAGGAGTATTCAAAGGAACATGACCGCGAGCTTCGAGTGGTATCTTAAGATTTTTTGTATTTGTCGAAATGCCAATTCGTGCGATTATGAGATGTTACTTTTGCAGAAAATGTGGGCGGTATGCGACCTCACTATGTCTTTAATATGGTCACGGTCGTCCCGCTTTGAACTTCGTGAGTTCCCGGCAGACGCGCGCATTCCTACCATGTACTTCTCGCCGCAGACGGAATATTTTGTCAACACACGCGTGTTCCTGCCGCCAGCTCTACAGGTAAGCGAGATAGCATTTTGTAACCTTTAGGCTATATGCACGACACTTGTGGAGGTTAGTTTCCGTAACAGTGGAGCTCCTCGTGAAAGAGTTCGTCCAGGGAAGTCCTGTCACCTTACCTATTTCTGTCGCCAAGCAGTAATGCTCACAAACCGCGTTCCGGTTTTGTAGGGTAAGGGTGCTGGTGAAATTACAGGCACATGGGACTTGTCAACTTATGGCTTAGGGTGACGGGCGCAGTGGCAGTACCGTCTTTGTTCAAGTCTTTGCGATTTAAAGCTCGTGAATGCCACTGCAACTGCCATGGACAGGCGTGTCGCTTACCACCAGCCGTACGACTTGTTCGTGTCGTTACTTGGCATCATGAAAAGCAAAAAGACTCCTGTCCCCTTATAATGTTAGAGAAACGAATTTTAATCCTTTAACTATTGGCCAGTTGTGATATTGAGATGTTTGAATGTTAGAATGCCGTTTTTTCAAGTGAAGAGTCTTTTGAAATAAAACAATTGTTGTTTCGTAGAATAATTAAGTATATACCCAGAAATATTGACGAAATTTCATTTAATTCGTTTGAAAACTATTCTGCCAAATCATTACTGTGACAACTGCGCTCCGATTGGCTAGCCCGAATTCGAAACGGTTGATGGGTGTCGTCAATTGTTTCACTTCAAATTGACCAGTTTAACTTGAGCTTTGCTATAATGGACGAAATATATATTTATATATACATCTTGGTACTTGGTGCAACGGGCTGGTATCCGTATTAAATATATACATATTTAATATTTAATTACCGATAAAATGTGATTCAGTTCATTTTGTAATTAGATGTTTTGCTGCTTTTCCCCACACCACCGAATGGAACAGCCCCCATTGTTAGAGATATTATCTTTATTACAATAAATACAGAATATTTTTGGAATACACGGAGACATACACACAGGTCAGTTGTTGGCGCTGTACTATTCCCGTTTTCTAATTTGTGATTTCAGCGCAAACGAGAGTTGTTTTCAAATTTAAGTGATACAGCGTCCATTTATCTGATTTGTTGCCAGGGATGGATGGCCCTTATTTCGTCTCTATTTCTGGTTATATACTCGATGCGTAGAATTAGAAACTGGTAAGGTAAGGATCGAAACTTCGAAACCTCGTCTACTAAGTCTCTTCTTATTAAAGGATATCAGGCCAAAATCGATCATGATGACACGTGAAAAATTTTAAAATTACTAGTTTAGCCCTTAGATTTACAAGTAATTGCGATAAGTGCTATTTTATAACCATTTGGTTTACACGTGGTCTTATGGCGTACACTACATAGTAAAACTACTTGTGGAGAGGAAAAAAATGGGAGATTTCTTTAAAAAATATTACATTTAATGTCATGTGTTCTAATGTTTTTAAATCTATTATATTACATTTTATTATTATGTTTTTCTAGTACCTATTTGGCAGTCCAACTGCATGATTATTATAATGTATTCACAAATTACTAAACTTTTTATTTATGACGCAAGGCAGGTCACAGTGATTCAAAATTCATTGTTGTAACTGAGTATCTCAAAAAATAGATGATTTGACTATTGAAAAATTTTATTGTCTCCAGTTCCAGCCGAAACGTGGACAAGAAACGACCGACTCAAGTCGCAAGAAGCGCCCACGCCTCGCCGCCGAGCGGGAGAATTCAAACGATGTCGAGGTAACGTACAAACATAATATATTATTTATTTTCTCTCAACATATAAGGTTAATTTTGTAATGAAATTCTTACTGATTAGTAAGTTTAATGTTGAACCTTATTTGTGGGAGACTGGTGCCTGGGATACGTATAAAAATGAGTGCATCAATTAGGTTAGCCTCAATTTTACATCAATTAGTTAGGTACAGTATGTCAGGGATAAAAATGGATTAAAATACTTGATCTCGATTAACTTTTTTACTTTTTATTCTTTTCGTCACCGGAACATACAGGGTGTAATAAACAAACTCGAGTTGATAATTCTTTTCACGCAGACTTGAACAAAAAAAAAAAATTCGCGATTAAAAATTTTGATCCTTTATACAACAACCTGATTGCAATTAATCAGAGTATGCAATATCGTAATTTTTCCGCAAATATCAAAAATCTATGCTACAAGATGTACACATGGTTAGGTATTGATAAAAACAATTTTTTTTTCAAAAGTTTTAACTAGCGGTCGAATAATCGGGCGCTTATATAGTCTTAAACTTAAAAAAAATAATATGGATACACGCGTGTCCATATTACATTTTATTCTGAATAAAAATATATAAATCGATTTAGTCAATTCCAGATTCTCGGATTGAGTAATTAATATTATTTACTAAATAACTACAAAACAACATTTTAACAAATGTTTAGTAAGGAATACAGAAAAAGTGCACATCCAATGTACTTAGACTAGACATGAGCGCTGCGCCGGCGCCGCCGCCGCTGACAAATGCAATCGGCGCGCCGTTTAGTTCGATCAGGGGCTCCGATCGTACGCACGCGCATTTCGTATTGTGTATGTGAAAATGTCGACGCCAGAAAATTACTTTTCTAAGATAAAACTTATTATTTTCTATAAAATGTAAGTTCGCATTTGACCTCCATCTCACCCGATGGAAAATGACGATGAGGTCGACGATAGATGAATCGATTTTTATTCCATTTGGTTTTTTTTACCACTGGCAACCTACTGGGATATTTAAAATTCCATTTGCCGCCAGATCTTTTTATCCCGTTTGTCACCACCTGGTAACATATGGGATTTTTTCCCCATTTGTCGCTAGTGGGAACAAAGCCAGCGGTGACAACTGGGAATAAGCCCCATTTTTACCGCCAAGCAGTAATCTGAATATTACTACGTTCCGGTTTTGAAAGGTAAGGGTACTGGTGAAATTACAGGCACATAGGACTTATCAACTTACGTTTCAGAGTGACGGGCGCAGTGGCAGTGTCCCTCAGGTCTTTGGGATTTAAAGTTATGAGTAGTACTGTCACTGCTATGGACAGGCGTGTCGCTTACCAACAGGCTCATCACTCTTTCGTCCCATCACTTAGTATCATAAAAAAAGGGTAAATAAGCGTCCGAATATCCGATCACTGCTTAGTTGTGTTAAACTCCGTCTTCAAAAGTCACTTATTTCGGATATTACCCGATAAGCATACTTCAGCGCCAGCATTATTCTGATCCGTTAGTAATAAGCTTGCTAGATGTAACATAAATGTGAATTGGGTGCACGTTTCATACGTACACTCACGGGCAATCAAATTGGGCAGCTAACAGAATATCATACCTTTGGTATAATAAAGTCACATGACGTGATCACAAGTCAAATGTTTTCATCGCATAAAAATAACACGAACTCCACGAAACAAATTATGCCGTCCGCTAACTGAAAACGCGGCTAAGTGACAAAATAATGTTTTGAGATATCGTAAAAAATCATAACCCAGTTTTAGAATATTGCAATTGTTTAATGATATTTTATCTATGTGTCGTTAGGGTTCCGGTAAGTCGTACACGATAACTAATTTTAAGTGTTTTTAAAATAGAATTTGGTTCTCTATCTTTTGCTATTTAAAACGAATATTTCACCATTTGTCACTATGTATATATGTAATTTTATAATAATAATTCTCATTTTTAAGCATAAAAACGGTATCGACTAATTTCGTTCGCATAATCTTTAAGCCTGTCTCCTAAAGAGTTGTCATTTTGCGGATGTGGCCCTTATTTCACTAAAGTTTGAAGTAGCTTGGGTAATTTTATTTATTTATAATGTTGCAAATCGATGCCTCTCAAACTCGTATCTTATAAAGAGTGATTATTCAGGAGATGCCAAAGCTTTCTATTATCAAGGGTATTAATTTGGATGTATTACTTTAAGAATAGGTAAAAGCCAATGTTTAAATATGAAGTGAAATCAGCCTGCAAATTTTTTTTATGTATAAAAGAATCCAAGAATGCATTTTTGGCATTCCAATTACTTTGTGCTTTAAGATACGAGTTTGAAAAAGTAAGGCGACGAAATATTAATTACTATAAAAATAGGTCCAAGATGGATAGTAAAAAGTAACTGGTAGATTTCGTTGCCCGTGAGTTTAGATAGCCATTATTTTGGCGTATTTATTTTTATTATTATTGTTTATTTACTTGTTTAATGGCAATATGTAACGCCTTCACACTTGCATATCCCTGCATGTCCACACTATCATGTTACTATGTATTAGCATAGATCGGTAACTTAAGAGGACTGCTAATCTTCAACTCTGAAAAAGGTCGAAATTCCATCTTATATGTAGATGACGCCAATCAATAGCCCGGAAGGAGTTGATATATTAGCTCTGTGGCATACGTAGTCCATAGAATACGTGAGCTTCCCGATGTTGCTACTGCTAGATTAGTTTACATTAGTTACTTTCATAGTATAATGTCCTACGGGATTCTCATGTGGTGGAAAGCGACAGATATACAAACAATAAAAAATATATAAGTTTAGGTCTCTCGGGTTTCTCTCAGAGACAAGTTTAAGGAGATTGATATCATGACTGTGGCATCAGAGCAGTAGCTTAAAAAATGACGTTTTCAAGTGTAAAAATTGTGCCTATGGAATAAATGATTAATTGACTTTGTAAATGGTCCTGGATGTCAATTAATTCCTCTTTCATATGAAAATAATAAGACCGTATTTTTCTTTTAATATTATTCAAATATTCATTATTTTCTGAACTTTGAGAAATATTCGTGTCAATAGATGGTATTGTGTGTTACAAACTAATTTATGAACGAACGCTTCTTAATAAGGGTAGATGGAGCTAATCCTAAACAAAATAAAAGAATAGCCGGCACTATCCAAAAACATCTGTGCCATAACCGCCATCTAGTTGATTTGTTTGTTATCGTTACAAATTAGAGTAGCTTTAATTTATCAAAGACAATGTGAAACAAAAATAGCTATTTGGTACTTGTCGCAACATCTGGTGTAACCAATGGGTACTAAATACCCCACTGCGCTGAATTGTACCACGAATGGCAGTCCACTTGAGTTATTGTTCCAAGGTATTAGTATGTGTGCGTCTAACTGTATGTGTTGTTTCAAGCTTAACCTGGGACGCTCGGGAAGTATCGATACTAGGGTAAGATCACACTGTGTTCCCTCGCTTGTGCTTCTATATATATAATAAAATAACAGTGAAAGGATCCCTTCATTTTTGGGCCCAGATTGTGTACCGAGGTACAAATTATGTTAAAAAATTTCTAAAATTGTATAGGAAAGTATCCATTAACTGATATCTTTTGAATTTTAGTAGAAAATGCTGAAAAATGTAGATGATTTTTCAATTATAGAATAAATGAGGACGCGTTCGACTAAACATGCATTAATAATAATAACAATAATAACGCACACACTCAACCTAGCCCTGCACTAGGGAAACCCTGTGTCGCGGGTGTCATGGATACACAAATAGACAACCACAAATTACACCCAAACTCACGAGAGAAATAAATGTAGGCTATACAAATATTTCTCTCGGCCCGGGAATCGAACTTGGGACCTCTGCGTGGCTGTCCGGCATGGTAACCGTTCGGCCATGGAGCCTATCATTGTCGTGATTTGACAGTTTTCATTGTAGCTAATAAACGAGTTTGATCGAGAGAACGTCCGTAAAACATAGCCATAAACGCAGTACAGAGTACTAAAAAAAGCGACCTCAAAAGTTCGTGGAATTACATCTATTTGCCAAGTTTTATTGATATCGGTTACTATAAAGTGCGGGAAACCGGATTCATCCACTAGTTTGCCACTTACTGGTGGAATATTTTCTTTAAATTTCAATGGGACCACTTCTGAGGTACCCTCTTTCTAACAAAAAAAGAATCATCAAAATCGATTCACAAAATGAAGTTATCGCGTAACATATATACAAATAAAAAACATACAGTCGAAACGAGAACCGCCTCCTTTTTTTGAAGTCGGTTAAAAAGGTAGTGATGAATATATCAAAAACACAAATAGAAACGGAATAAAAAATGTCAATGGCTTTGACGTATCGACTGTGTCATCAAGTGACATTTAAATGGTTTAACAGCTTGGGACATAGTCCTCTAGCCAACCTTATTGTATATTCTAATAATGTAATAATGGACTCGTAATGAATAAATTGTAAAAAACTACTGGATATTTTTTACAGACCTGCAAAAGACGATTTAACCTATTTTTTAAATAATCTTGTTTGTTTTTTATGGATTCACCGTAATTTTACCGTAAAAATATATGATAGGTAGTACTTGAGGTAATCTTTGGGCCCAAGTTATATGGAAGGAAAAATGGACCCTTTCTTCACAAGATTTTCAGTTATATCTATCAGCTGTTTCTTTCGCTAAAGAGTGCCTTTATTTTGTATCTGCCAAATTTGACATTGTCTATCCACTGCATTTAAGTGTGTATATTTATAGAATTCTATATCTTCTGTCTATCGTATTTATTGTCTATCAGTCAAATTCACGAAACCACATCGAATTCCACTAAATTTATTGTAGTTGCTCCACTAAATTAAAGTTTGTCGATCAATAATATCAATGTAGTCCATTTACCGAGTTTAATATCATCTATCTACTGAATTTAAGATTGTCTATACACCAATTCGTTGTTTGTCTATTGTTAAGTTGAAGAGTTTATTCGTTAAATTTAACGTTGTTTCTTCATCGAAATTGGGATATCCATCCGCCGAATTAAAGATTGTCTAACCACAGAGTTATGTGACCGTCGAATTTGTGATTATTATTTATTATTTCAGCGGTTACCTACGGTGACGCTTTTATTGTTTTGAAAGGGAGTAAATATTTTTGACAAAACACTCAAATTCTAATTTATTATTTATTTATTGTTTATTTTTTATGTATGTTCGTATTTGTTTGTATTTTGCGTTTGTACTTTAATTATGAAAATATTGATTTTAAGTCATAATTGTCGTCCATTCGTCATGTATTCCATCGATATATCTATCTATTATCGAATATTTCGACACTAGCAATTAACCACCACACTAACATAAAAAATTTCCAGCTTTTCATCAGAAATTGTTTTTAGTAGCAATTTTTTTTTACTAGAAGTTATTCGTAATAGATTATTATAAGTTATATCGACGACCTCAGTGGTCCAGTGACTTGCACATCGGTTTTCATGGTGTCGCCATCTCTGAGGTCCAGGGTTCTATCCCCAGCCGGGTCAATGTAGAAAACAATTTTCTACATTGCCTCGGGTCTAAGTGTTTGTGGTACCGTCGTTGTTTCTGATTTTCCTCAACACAAGTGCTTTAGTTGCTTACTTTGGGATCAGAGCAACATATGTGTTGTTACTAATATATATTTATTTATATAGTTATTACTTCTTTTATTATTCTCTTAAATTTGAATTTAATTTAGATATTGGTACAGCAGAGCGAACAATACGTCATTGTGTAGCGCAACGGATAAGTGCTTTCCATCTCTCTCGCACACCTAGGTAGTCATTATGCACACGTTGTTATTGTATATGAATTTTTGTTCTTGAACTCATTGAATATACTAAAAACTCAAGGAATATTTTGAGGCGCCTTCTAGTGCCATTATTGATTAGAACACCCTGTATGCTTGAATATCGTAGAGAGAGTCCGAAACTGCGTTTTTAACCTCTAAGAGCCTACGCACACGGTGTATTTTATATGCGCCGACGACGCGCAGATGACGCGCGTAAACTCGATTCAAACGCGGTGCAGTCGCAGCTTGTAAACCATTGCACAAGTTCACAAATTCAGTGTCGTAGTAAACGCGCGTATACGTGCCGCAGACGCGCTGTAGTCGCGCGTATATATCGCGCATTTTGATAAGAGATAGTTTTAACTTTAGTTTCGTTTCTTAATTTCAGTTAGTTTTTGAAATGAAACATGAAATTCTAAGTGTAAACTCCAGTGGAGTATATAAGATTCGCGCGTTTAAATCGATTCAAACTCGCGTAAAACGCGATACAGACGAGCTTCGAACGCGCTTCTCGCGCGCTCTGTATCGCATTTGAATCAATATAAATGCAATAATTTGCTTTTTGAGCCTCTACGGCGCCGTAAACGTGAAACTACGACGTGTGCATGGCTCAAGTGGCACAGCGACTGTCATGGGTGGGCGTGTCGCTGCAATCAGGCGCATATGACTTGTTTGGGCATCTTCAAATTAGACGCTTGTAGAAGCGCTGTAGAAGGACTAAATTGTGACTGCAAAAATGGCGCGCGCCTGTCACGACAGTGGCGTTGCAACTGCGTTTATAAATATTCTATGAAAATTAGTAGTGACGCCACTGCAGTGTTTCTATAAGCGTCTAACTTGAGGACGCCTTTTGTCCCGTAAACTTGATATAATAATAAAAATATTATGTAAATATAATAGATTTTATATTACACTTTCACTGATCATCATATTGAGTATTGTGGCAATGAAAGGAATACATTCACATTCATTGCCGTACCCAGCGACTGCGTCCGGTTGCCGCAACCGGCAAATGTGTCGATTTCATATGATCAGGACGTGTTGATAGTGATGAAATCCTATCTACGCGTTGCGGGCTTGCCACAGCATGAAAATAGAATAGTTGCCGGTTGCTTGTATCCAACATAAGACACACGTTAGCGCGGCGTCTAAAGTTGCTATATTACATTGGTTGGATAAAACGTGTTTGCCAACATGTCCATCGATTTGTTAGGTAACGTGCTCTCAATAAATGGTACGCTTATCGTTACCAAGTTTAGGATCGCTACAGTTCGTATTAAAGATAAGTTTATCGATCTGTACAATTTCTACCATAATTTAAACTTTACTTTTGTTTTTTTCCCAGCCGTCACAAGCATCAGACACCCAAATTCAACTGCCCGGCCTCGAGAACACGACGGACCCGGACATGGCGGACGACGAGCCAGCAGAACAGAACAAAGGCACCAGTATCAGCGAGGAGTGACGTCACTTATTAGATACTCTGACGTCACCATAAACAGCGAACTCGGAAGTGAATTTTTTTATATTAAGAGTGGCGTAACATAAATAAGGGTTAACTTGTATGGGTGTTCCTCCTAGAGTTATGTGTCGCTGTCTTAATTGTATAGTGTGACAAAAATCTCATTAAAACATGTCATTGTGATTACTTTATTTACTTTAAAGTATGATAATGAGCGACTAGAATACACCGTCCCCGGACAACAATCGCCATCAACTTGTCCTTAACGCAGCGTAAAGGGAACTGACGCCACCACATTGTAGACCGCCAGATAAACTGACAAGTTACCACGGTTACTAACAACACTGCATAAACACTTATATCACAGATGACTTGGTTGTGATCGTTTTCCCTTATAACTTGTTAATATTTTCATATGAATTGGTAATAATTTCTCATACTTCAAAATATGACTGCTACTAAGTTCTTTAGATTCAGTGTTACACGCGTTTACCGTTTCTTGTCTCTTGCCTTCTCAGCCGTGGGTCTCTAGCTGACTAGTATATTACCACAATATCGACGCATACTGGTTAATTCGTGAAACACCATGAAGAACAGCTTTAGTTCCATGTCTTTTAATAATTTACCAGATTTTGCTTTCGTACAAAAATAAAAATATTTAATAAACCGCTCTAAACGGTGATAACTTTGTGCAGTAACAAAAAAAAAAAGCGGTAGCGTAAATACCAATTCGATGTAAAACGCAGGAGCTGGGATGGGGTCGTCTTGGAGGACGCTTATACGTTCGAACTTTCTACCATACCACCAAATACAGATGTAATAAATGTCAAATACCAAAAAAGTTTATTTTTGGTAAATTTATTATGTTTTGTAAAAAGTCATACAACAAAATCCTGAGAGGTTGTTAGTATTTTAAAAATAGCTTTGAATATACAGCGACATCCGCCGTTTTACAGTTTATAATATTGTTATGTGAAGATGTAGTTTGCTCTACTGTCGGGTAATATTCCGAAAAATTTCAAATGGTGGAAATTTTTCCCGAAATATTCCCGAAAGATTGAAAAAAAATTTTCAAAATATAATTTGGAAGGCTCATATTATTATGTTCTACGTTTTGAAATATCTTTTGAAGTTTTATTTAGCGTGAATTATAAAATAAACTTGTATATTTATATAAAAACCACTTAATAGAAATACGAGATTTAAAATGATTTAACAGCGAAAGAAACATCTAACAACCGCACCACACCACCACTTGTGTTTTTCTTAAAAATATGTTTCGTAAAGAAAAGGGAAATTTTTCCATGACCCAACACTAGTTTGGGCACGTAAACTGGTAAGGGTCGACGTAGAGATTAACCTTAACTGATAAGCGTATATAAAAGCATTGATAAGTGTTGATGAGGCGAAAGATGTAACTCAGGATTGTTGTAAGTGGAAGGCTGTGCTAAGCTTACTCCGATGTTATAAGGGCGGGAAGTGTAATTTGAAGAAAAATTTGTGATTAAATATAAATTGATCAATTTTATGCTTACCTATTTCTGCCGCCAAGCAATGGAGAGAGTATTAATGCGTTACGGTTTTAAAGGGTAAGAAGGGTACTTCGTGCATTTACAGGCACATCTTGTCAAGTTGTCACCAATTGACGGGTGTAGTGGCAGCATCCCTTATTTCTTTGTGATTTAAAAGCTGAGTGACACTGCTAATAAGACTGCACACTTGGTAATAAGAAAAAGAGTGTCGTCATAGTTACATTTTTGATATATTTTCGGTGGCATTTTGCTTGTTGAAAATTTGAATTTATAAAACCGGGAAGACTGTTTTTTTCAATGATGACAATATTTTTGCGTTCTGCCCTTTAAGAATAAAAATGCAAGGTAGCTCGATTTATGTGTCCGGGAGTATATAAAATTTTACTTCATAATAACGAATAAAGTGAATTTTTGCATTACTCATGCCAAATCGCATTACTCAGGATTAATGCTTTGTTCTTTTTGACCATTTACTGAAAATATAAATATACAGCAGTATATGGAATAATGTTAATATTACAATGTTCATATATTACTTTGATCCCTATGATCTTGTGATATTTTGTTTTAGTTATTAAGTAACGGATAAAAAGTAAATGTGACATTTGAATCGCCACGAAATTGGTTGTCTTACGAGCGCCTATTGTGTAACATTAAATGATCTATTATATTTCTTTCCAAAATACTCTTACCTGGACAAAATGTCGCTCATATCCAATAAATCTTTCAGGAGAGAGATTTCAAGATTCAATGAACGATAATTCATCATGCTTAAATAGGAGCGTTGTAAAATTTCACATATATACAAATGTGTTCCAAGTAGCTGGTATTATTTTTATAGATACATGATATCTAAAGTACACAACCACTTACCTGTATGTGAAATGGTGGGTGTCATTGGTATCTGTGCTGTGTTGCCAGTAACGATAGTAACTTGTCATTTGACGTTTTTTCAAGGTGGTAGCGTTTATTCCTTTTGTTTGCCATTTTGATAACGTTGATGGCACTGTGCAGAAGGTGTTTTTATATTGACAGACCCGGCTTTTGCACCGTCGGGTGGGAACCGTATTGCTACGTTACCTAAGTTGAAAATCAACCAGCAAGGTCTAAATATGCAGACGCGAAAGTAATAATTGTGACACTTTTGACAGATGTATTGTGAACATGTAAATTCTAGCCTCAATTTATAATGTTTTAATCAAGGATTTAAAATCGAAAGTGACCTAATAATGACTATAATAAAGGCGACAAGTTGAATTTGTGCTCTTTTCATTTTGCAGAATTTCGTAGAATTAATTTCTTCTACTTATAACGGGAGCAGTGTTATAACAAGTGGACACTAGCACAATCAACTTAGAGTTTAAATTAACTTGTCAGCATTTATAAAATATATTTATAAAAATCATGTTTTGTATAACAAATTGAATATTTAAAATTAATTGTGGTTATGGACTTAATAAAGAATTCTCGAGAATCGAGTTTGTCTTTAAATGTATCTAGGCGTGTATACATGTCACATTAAGCGTTTTGTATGTGGTTTATTGCCCTTTAACATGAAATTATAGCTGCTTGTTGGTTAAAAAAAATCGTTCTTCGCTCCTAGCTTATATAATTATGGTTTTCAACTTGAAATTTGTGCTCTTTCACTGACTGTAGGACGACACACTTGGTCGATAAGCTGATGCGATGCCCATCGCCAATATATAAATATTATGATGCGCCAATATCTGTGCCTACAATAAATAAAACTTATCACTGCCCGTAAGGGTTGGATCACAGTGGGCTGGATGGAACTGCATCCTGCTTGAGGTGTAGTGTGGGTTATCGCCCTAACCTCGCATCCAACCGAACGTTCCTCGAACCTCGAAATACCTCAAGATTTGTAATTCTTGATTTTAATAAAACCCGTGATAATTTAAGGAACGCCTAGATACTTGAAAGATGCAAGTCTATCTCCGACCATTTGTACCCTTGTAAAGTACCCCAAAGGGGATACATTCCTGGCAATGTCAAGGTAGAACGATCAGAGCCAAGTATTAAGATGACCTGTGTTCAGTAGAGGACGTTCTCTTGCTGACGGTCTTATTTAGTGTATTTCCGATAAATTTGTTTACTAGTGTAAGACAATTTTACACCTCTTATATCTATGGTCTTTCACAGAGGTACAAATGGTCCTAGATTGAGGCTCATAGTTTGACAGGACTTGACCTAGGCTAGAGAGAAGAGTCTGTATTATACATTTTAACATTAAGTTCTACTGTTTGCCCGTTGAATTAGTTTTTAATTTTCCACTGGTCTTATTTTTCTCTTTTAATTTGAATTTTATTTTTATTTGTATAATTTTGGACACCGCCTCGTACAGAGGTCTGATATACTATTTAGCATTTCAATTGCCTTTTTACTACTAAATAATATGTGTTACTTCACGGTAAAGCTTTTTAGGTTTGGAGCCCACTTGTCGGTACGCTTCAGCACTGTTGTACCAAATGTGGACTTTAAGTTGTCACGTTGATTACAGATACAGTGTTGAAGCATGCTGCCGAGTGCGGTCCAATCCTTAGCTGCCTATGACAGCACGCTTGAGTACCCTACGCATACTAAAAGCGTGAATGTATTGTAAGAATCTCATTCATACATTTACATTTAGTATGGGCGCGGCGCTGAAGATTGATAAATTTTTGTGAACATTCTTAATTTTTCAATGTCTTAGCGTTAGCCTAAAGGTGACTTCAGATATGTACGTAACGCACGCATCTCGGTACCCTGCCGTGCACGTCGAATACTTCGATCGGTGTGTGGGACACTGTTAGATATTTATATTATAATTACTTCCAAGTTTTACACAGCAAGCAAAAGACTATAATAAATATATAAGAATAAATGTGATTATATTATGGGCCTATAAATAGGCACTGCTTTAATTCTGCAGAGCAATATTAAACTTTAACTCGTGCGATGCGAACACATCTGCGGTCGACATACTTTACTATTTGTTCTTTCTCTCGTTTTAGTTCAAAAGGAAAACACTTCTGTTAAATGACAATTGGTACGTGGTTGAAATTGCTAAATGGGAATAAAATATAGCTCTCATGTTAAAGCTGACATCTGTAATGTATTTCTGTTCTTTCTAGTACTTACAGAAGAATGTAGAGGTCAACAGAAGAGGGACAGTTGTCTGAAGAAGAATATTGGATCATGAGATCACATATTGATAGTGAGATAGTTGTCAGCTTTTTCAACATAGCTATAGTTTACCTGTAGATAAGTATAGACTGAACATGTATGGGGGAGGAGACTGAATGGCTTTTTTTAATATGTATGTGTTGAATTTGAATGGGTGTTTACCCTCTAGCCTCCCCCATCTACAGGTTTGATTGTGAATGTTACAGTGTGTTAGTTAATTCATTGGTTTATTATGATTTTTTTATTGATTTTATTACACGCCAAACTATCAAAATTGTATGTAAAATTGAACATACGTTGATTATGACATCCTATATCTGTTGACGATGACATCTGTTTCGTATTGTGGCTGGCCGCATCGCAGATATGTTCATATTGTTTTTTCACATCATTTTTTGTAAACAAACCTCAAATTTCTTTTTGATAACGCTCTCAACAACATTGGAGGTAATATGACCTAAACGACTTGAGCGTTTGATAATGTTTAAAACACGATACATTTTATTTAAAGTTCGTAAAAAATAATAATTATGCACTGTAATAGGTCACAAAATAATGTCTAAAATATGAAATTTTGTTTCACTTATGGTGATAAGTTTGTTTTAGTTTTGTATCGATAAGTGTACCAAAATGCTTGTCCGCCGAATTGGTCGGACAGTGATGATTCTCTGTAGTTATGTATTAAAATAAATAATAAATACATACGTTTGCGAATTTTTATTTGTGGTAATTGGAAAGTTATAAGCACGCATCGCGTCGCATTCGCAAGCAGATAGATAGATAGGAAACCCAACCTATGTTGCTATTGTGTACGATTTTTCTACGTAAATGTATACCTATCAATGAAAATAATTGAATATCCAAATCTTTTAAAAAAAGGGCGACTAATTATAAAACTTCGCGACTAGAACCGACTAATTCGCGACTTTCCCTGGGCGCAATCAGATCTAAGCTAGGAGCGCTGGTTCTAGAGATTCTATCCAAAAATAAGTTTATATCAGCGTGAACAATAAAACACCTTAATAACTTCGTAACGACTAAATCTAGTATTTTACAACTAGAATCGACTAAATCACGACTTTTTATAGTGTAATCAGATCTCAGCTAGGTG